CCAAAACCTCCTCTAATGACACTTCAATCTGTGACAAGTCCTCAGATTTGTCACCTACAAAGGATGGGTCAGGTTTGGGAATCTCCCTAACGTCCTCAGCTGTGAAGACTGAAGCAAAGAATTCATTTAGTTTTTCCACAATGACTTTATCGTCTTTAAGTGCTCCTTTTGTATCTCGGTCATCCAGCGGCCCCACTGGTTGATTAGCAGGCTTCTTTCTTCTGATGTACTTAAAAAACATTTTATTACCTTTTGAGTTTTTGGCTAGCTGTTCTTCAAATGCCTTTTTGGCTTTTCTTATTACGTTTTTACACTTAATTTGGCAGTGTCTATGCTCCTTTCTATTTACTTCACTAGGATTTGACTTCCACTTTTTAAAAGATGTCTTTTCATCTCTCACTGCTTCTTTTACGTAGTTGTTAAGCCATGGTGGCTCTCTTTTAGTTCTTCTTCTATGTTTTTTAATTTGGGGTATACATTTAAGTTGGGCCTCTATTATGGTGTCTTTGAAAAGTGTCCCTGCAGCTTGCCGGGATTTTACTTTAGTCACTGTATCTTTTAGTTTCTGTTTAACTAACCTCCTCATTTTTGCATAGTTCCCCTTTTTTACATTAAATGCCACAGGAATGTTAAATGTTATTATATTATGGTCACTATGTCCAAGCGGTCCTGTTATAGTTGCCTCTTGGACCAGATACTACGCACCACTCAGGACTAAATTGAGAATTGCCTCTCCCCTTATGGGTTCCTGTACCAGCTGTTCCAAGAAGTCGTCGTTTAAGGTATCAAGAAATTTTGTCTCTGCATCTCAGCCTGAGGTGACATGTACCTGCTCAGTATGGGGATAGTTGAAATCCCCCACTATTATTGAGTTCTTTATTTTGATAGCCTCTCTAATATCCTTTAGCATTTCATAGTCACTATTACTGTCATGGTCAGGTGGTCAATAATAGATCCCTACTGTTATATTCTTATTAGAGCAGGGAATTACTATCCCTAGCGATTCTATGCAACATGTTGATTCATTTAAGATTTTTCCTTCATTTGATTCTAAATTTTCTTTCACATATACTGCCACTCCCGCACTTGCATGACATGTTTTGTCCTTCTGATATATTTTGGATGTCAGAATGATTGTCCCACTGATTGCCCTCACTCCATCGGGTTTCTGTGATACCTATTATATCAGTATCCTCCTTTAACACGAGGCACTCTAGTTCACCCATCTTATTTTTTAGACTTCTAGCATTTGTGTACAAGCACTTTAAAAACTTGCCACTGTTTATTTGTCTGCCCTTTTCTGATGTGTCAGATTCTTTTTTATGTGAATGTTTTTCATCTGATCTGGACCATACTTTATCCTCTTCCATCCTCTCCTCCTGACTAAAACCTAGAGAATCTCTATCAATAGACTCTCCTCTAAGAGACCTCTCTGTCTGATCCACGTGCTCCTCTGCACCAATTGGCTTTCCCCCATCTCTTAGTTTAAAAGCTGTGCTGCGACCTTTTTAATGTTAAGTGCCAGCAGTCTGGATCCACTTTGGTTTAGGTGGAGCCCATCTTTCCTGTATAGGCTCCCCCTCTCCCAAAAGTTTCCCCAGTTCCTTATTAAGCTAAACCCATTCTCCCTACACCATCGTCTCATCCACGCATTGAGACTCTGAAGCCCTGCCTGCCTACCTGGCCCTGCGCGTGGAACTGGAAGCATTTCTGAGAATGGCACCATAGAGGCCCTGGATTTCAGTCTCTTTCCTAGCAGACTAAATTTGGCCTCCAGGATGTCTCTGCTACCCTCCCTTATGTCATTGGTACCTACATGTACCAAGACAACCGGTTCTTCCTCAGCACTACACATAAGTCTATCTAGATGCCTTGAGAGATCCACAACCTTTGCACCAGGCAGGCAAGTCACCGTATGGTTCTCCTGGTTATCGCAAACCCAGCTATCTACATTTCTAATGATTGAATCTCCCAACAACTACCTTTTCCTAGTGACTGGAGTTCCCTCCCCCGGAGAGGTAATCTCAGTGCGAGAGGATACCCCAACATCTGGAAGGAGGGTCCTGATTATGGGAAGGTTTCCCTCTGCTCCCATTGACGGCTCTCCTTCGCTGAGCCTTTCATCCTCCTTAACAGCACAGGGGCTGTCTGACCAGAGGTAGGACAATTCTACGGTGTCCCAGAAAGCCTCATCTACGTACTTCTCTGCCTCAGCTCCTCCAATTCAGCCACCCTGGACGCCAAAGCCCGTACGCGGCCTCTGAGGGCCAGGAGCTCTTTGCACCGAATCCACACATACGCCACCTGCCCACAGGGTAGGTAATCATACATGCTCACTAAGCTGTCAGATACTTCCTGGAGCTTTGAAAGGGGGAGAGGCGCATGCCTGCAAGCAGCAGAGATCACAAAACACAGAGCACAGTTATCGGGGTAGGCATTGGGGGATACTGGTGGAAGCCAGTTCTCTCAATAAAACAAATGACAGAGTCCACATTGGCTCTTTGTCAACAGTAAAGGGAAGGCAAAAGACAAAAGTCTCTCGCAGGGTTGGAAGTTTTCTGTCGCCAAAACTGTGTGTTTTTCTTGACAAAAATTGCACCGTAGTCTGAATGCTCTCGCTGTTTTGTCGTCAAAAGATGCCACTGTAGACAAGGCCTAACATCAAAAACAGAAACATTGAGCAGCTGTAATAGTTTAGCAGCCTGGATAGCATTATCAAGGCAATGACATTATAGCAGTCTACACTTAACAGCAACTAGGAGTGCTATTCAGTTAGGATATGTCTCCACTTGCACCCTCTTTCGAGAGGAATGCAAATGAAGACATTCGAAATTGCAAATGAAGCCGCGATTTAAATATCCCATGCTTCATTTGCATATTCGCGTTATGGTGCTATTTCGAAATAACAGATGCTGTTAAAATGCAGTTATTTCAAGAGAAAACCCTTCTCTCGAAATAACCCTTATTCTCATACAATGAGGATTACCAGAAAAGGGCTTTCTCTCAAAATAACTGCATCTTAACTGCATCTGTTATTTCAAAATTGCGCTATTTTGAAATAGCGCCATTATGCGAATATGCAAATGAAGTGCAAGATATTTAAATCCTGGTTTCATTTGCAATTTCGAATGTCTTCATTTGCATCTCTCTCTCGAAAGAGGGTGCAAGTGTAGACATACCTATAGATCCTATGGGGTGTAGAATGTCCAGGAGTCTGTGTTGTGAGATCTGGACCTCATCTGAGGAGACACACAGCTCTTCTGCTCCTCTCCAGAACAGCTTTTCGGATGATCTTTGGCCATCTGGAGGAGACGGCAAGGCTGGAACAACTACCTCATCAGGAAAGGAAGATTAAATATTTGTTAGTACTGACAGTATGAATGCATCTGGTTTATCTTCCTTCTCCTTCATCGAGTCAGGAAACTTTGGTTGGTCTCTGTGACGGCGCGTTGGGGGTCCCCCGTCTCCTACACCCCGAAATGGCACAAACAGACTGCACCAGCCAGTGGAATAGAGGACGTTTATTGCCTCTCCAGGATACAGCACAGCACAGATGGAATCTGGTCACAGAGCTGGGCTAGGATGCCTCAGGCCCCCTTGAGATGGGGGAGACTGGGCCCCTAAACTCCAGCCCCTTTCCCTAGGCTGTCTCCTCCATGCTCCCAGCCAGCAACTAAACTCACCCTCTTCCAGCCCTGCCCCCCAGCCAGGGCAGCCTCCACCTTCCTTTGTTCCTCTCCTTGGGGGGTGTCTGGTTCAACAAGTTTGGCATCACCTTTGCATAGTGAGGTTTTCCCTGCTGGGTCTTGCTCCAGACAGCAGGGGTCACCACAGCCCAGCAAGTACCCCCATTACGTCACAGTCTCTTGGAGGACAAAGGTGGTACTGGGATCACACACACTTCAGGAGCCACGTGTACTAGTCCCACAGTCCCCAGTAAGGCCAAAATAAGAAGGGTGGGGGGGAAAGGTTATGGTTGTGCCCAAGGCACTTGGTACCATCAGTACCAAGAAGGGGGTCTCTACTTGGACAGATAAGATTGGCAGTAGAAGACTCTTGATACCCTCTAGGCTGAATGCCCTCAGGGGAGGAGAAGAAAATTGTACTAGTATGTCTAACTTTTGGCATGGAGCATAAAGAAAACAAGGTGTGGGCTAATGGACACTATTTGCTAGAATCCTCCAGTCTTAGGGATTTGGGGAGTGTATGCCTACGACTCAGTGGGGAACACATAGGGACCATCACTCAAAGAATTAAGAGACCTGTCTTTTGTTTGCAGCCCAGTTGCTGAGGCAACATCCAAATATTTTGTTACCAGATTTTGTAATGCCTTTTGCTACAACCCACTATGTGTATTTTCTAATTTCTAGAGCACGTTTTTCTGATTTCCACATTTTGCTTGCAGGAAAATAAGGATGTACCACTTCACCAATAAGGATCTACAATCTTTGCATACTGGGTACTCTATTGTATTATAAAAGGATATTGTCAAAGAATAAAGTAATAATTAAAGTGGTCTAGTTCAGCTACAGTTTTCAGAGGATGATTACTTCAGATACACAATATAAAACAATTTAACTTACCCATGACTGTGTATTGCGCCTGAGATCAATAATTTCAGCTCCTATCAAAGGACACGGAGAAATAGACCGGATTACACAGTTTCTGCATTGCAAATAGCTGGTCAGAGAACGTTCCTTCACATTCCAGATAGCATTTAAAGCTAAATCTGTGTCAAAGTCTTCAAAAAAGAAAGAAAAAAATACTTTTATATTCATTGAGAGAAACTTTAAAAGAAAGAACTATCACAAGTTGGACTTGTGAAATGTTTCTCATGTGAAAAATACAAATGGAAATTCAGTTTTTAGTATATAAATAAACGAGAGGGTAAAATAATAGAGGAAAACTGTAATATTTAATATTTTTAATAAGTGAATAATGCATTCAATTAGAATTGTCTGAAAAAAATTATATACAATAGACTAATCAGTGTAGTAACAAAACAGTCCACGCATTAGCAAAATCCAATTGCTTTGCTTTTAGTCTGTATTAGGTACATGTGCAGTAAAAGAAAGGTTAGTCACCTGTAACTAGATCTCGTCAAGTGCATTCCCTCTGCAGATTCCCATTCTCAACACATGGAGCCATGCATATGCCAACTCACGGATCTGAATATTCACTGTAAGGGAATAAGGCAGTGGGGTGGGGAACATCTACTAGTCTTGGCCCCCATCCACACTATAGCGCGCAAGAGGTATATGGGGAGTGTCTTTCTCCTTCTCAGTTAAGGGCCGCTTCGGTGAGGATTTGTTTTTTTTTCTTTTGCTTCTCACATGGAATAAGGGATTGTGGCTTTAACTGCATTCAGTTCCTTCTCAGCAATTCAAAATTCCATGGAATTACATGAACAATTGAGGAAGAGAACATTGGGCTGATATGGATCAGAAATCAACGAGTCAAATTCACTGCTGGTGTAAACAGATGTATCTCAACAGAAGTCAGTGGAGTTATTCTTGCTTACACCAGAAAACGAACTTAAGTGTGGCACTTCATCGACAAATGAGTAACCTTCCTTTTACCATACAGAATGGCTTCTGCAGATTCCCCAATTCGGAGAGGTTGACTACAGCATTCAGAGTAAAAGGTCAACAGTCAAGCATTAACAGAAGAAGTGTGAGAAATCCTTTGGTAAAATAACTGCTTTCCCCGCAAAGAATCAGAGGGGTTGCTGTGTTAGTCTATAACTTTAAAAACAATGAGCAGTCCCTGTGGCACCTTAAAGACTAACAAATATATTTTATCATGAGCTTTTGTGGGTAAAATCCATGTCATCAGATGAGCAGAAGTGGAAATTACAGAATCCAGAGTATATACAACAGCAAATGCAGTTACTTGTCAATTGTAGGGCCAGTGTTAATGACGCTAATTGAGTCAGGCTGGATCCGTCGCATTTGTAGCTTTTGATGTGTAAATGTGAATATCAAAGGCCAGGGAAATTGCCTTTGTAGTGCATTAATATCTTTACTTAAGCCCAAGTTGATGGTGTCAAACTTGTAAATGAACTCCAGTTCAGCAGTCTCCCTCTGTAATTGGGTGATAAAATTCCTTTGTAAAAGAATGGCTGCTTTTACATCCATTATTAAACATCTAGGGAGGTTAAAATGTTCCCTTCAGGTTTACCTTTCAGGCATCTTATGTAGCCTTGCTTTTCCTGGTAAATTACAATACCTAGTGAAGAAGAATGAGGGGCTGATGGACTGGTTGAGGTGGAATTCAGATGTTATTATAAGGAGAAATTTGGGTGGATCTTAGCCTTTTGGAACTCTATGAAATGTGTATATTGGCTAAAAGTACCTGTATTTCACTCACTCCTGGCCAATGCAATTGTTACTAGGAACGCTACAGTGTGGGAGAAACAAATATTCAAGAGTCCACTTGCCAATGAGCTCAAAGGAACCCATAAGCCTCATCAGCACTTAATTCAAATTCCATGAATGTGAGGAGGATTTCACATGATAAGTCTGATATGAAGTGAGCTCTTAATGAATAAGGATTCGGCAACCATTATGAGGTAATAATTGGCTGTCAGAAAGATTTACCTTCATACTTCATTTGCGTCTGATAAACCTTCAAAGTTTCTCTAAGATGACTAATACTTGCGCCATCTGTGATGATCAACACCACATCATCATCTTCTGAAATGGTACCCAGTTCACACATGCAATTGCTAACAGATTCTGAAGCCCTTACATTTGTATTTCTGAAGAGTTTCTGGACTATTTTCAATTCTGCATTACTGCAGAAAGCTTTTTTCAAATTTCCTAAAATTAAAAAAATAAAAAAGATAAGATATTTTTATATAGTTTAGAGAACCATACAGTGTGAATGCACTGCCAGTTTTCCACAGTTACAAGATAGTAATTTAGGTCCTGATTCAATGTCTCTTCATGTCAATAAAAAGACCTCCATTGATTTAAATGGGTTTTGGACAATAGCCTTATTTAATTTTTCTAATATATCACAAATCTACTTGTCAGTGAGTGTTTTTCTAGTCTGAATACTAACCTGATAAATGACTTAGAATCTATTTTCCATAAATTGCATTTATTTTAAATTTTCCATCAAAATATGATAGATTTTATACTTCAACCAATCAACTGACACCAAGCATCTACTCTAAACAGTATAATCGCTATTGCTTCCAATACACACTCTTGGGGTATGTTTACATTGCAACACTATTTCGAAATAACTTAGTCTGCACAGCAGGCAGTTATTTTGAAATATTGTCAAGTAACTTCTTACTCTAACTCCTGCAACCCTTATTGTATGAGAAATAAGGGAAGTCAAAGCAAATACATGCTGTATAGACATTCCCTATTGCAAAAGAAGCTATTTCAAAGGAAGATACACCATTGATGTAGCTCAATCTATGTAGCTTATTTTGAGTTAAGCCCTGCAATGTCCACCAATGCCCTGCAGTGATGCACCCTTGGTGTCCACCAATGCTAAAGCACCCTAGGGCTTGAGAACAGTTTCATTTCCAGTACCATACTTTCACTTCAATATATTTCAATTGCCAAAGGCACAAGCACAGACAATGTAATGTTTAAAAACAGATGAAAGATCAGGAATTTATTGATGAAATTAGGTTGCACAGTCCTCAAATTGTTCCACTTGCTGCTACAATGCCCTGGGTGTCAGAATTGGCATCTCCAGCACACCTTTTAGCCCTTTTTCTTTGGCTGTGTGATAGCCTCTCTCTGGCTAGATCTTCCATGGCCAAGCCCTCCTTTTCAGTTCTGCCTGGAAGGGGACAATCAAAGACAACTAAAGAATCCATTCCAACATCCAAACGACATCCAAACAAAAGCTCCTTCTACCCTTCTCCGGCTGTGGCGACATTCCCCATGCTTGTCTACCATTCCTCGAGACTGCATAGTTCCTTCTTTGCTGCTTTGGATAAGCACTGCTATGCTAGATTTTCCCTGGGCATCCTTCTTAGCAGGTTTCTTCACTGCCTCCCCACCTGGAGATGGTGGCAGCTTCTCCCAGAGACCTTCCTGCTTCTTACAGTCCCTGTATGTCAGCACCACCCAAAGGAGCCTAACTTACTCCCCCAGGGTCTCTCTAGCTTGGCTCCCTCAGCCACTTTCCCAGGGAGAAAGAATTCCTTTCTCCTCTATCTATGCAGTCCTCTCTGACCCTTTCACAGCTAGAATCCCTAATGGTAACTAAGCTACCAGACTTGAGATCTCAAGGACAACAGCTACAGCATGAGGAAGGCTGAGCCTTAAAGATCCAGCCAGTCTGTGATAAGCCTCAAAAGTGGTAACTCTGGGAAAGAGGACGATCTTCTACTACTTCTGGCCTCAGGGCTGGCTTTAGGCTGATTCCACCGATTCCCCCAAATCGGGCCCTGCGCCCTAAAGCCGTGGTCACCAACCAGTCGATTGCAATCGACTGGTTGATTGCGAGGCCTCAACCAGTTGATCATGAGGCATTCATGTACCCCCCCATTTTCTCCCTATCCCTGAGAAGCCCCACTACCTACCTCCAGTGTAGTGCCGGCTTCCCGCAGGGTGGACGGAATTCCTGCCTGCAGCTTTGTGCCACTTCCAGGGGTTCCGGAAGTGCGCTGGCTGCTCCCCCCCATAGCTCTGTGGTGTGCTGGGCGTGCTGCGGGAGGGGGCGTCGGCCCCAGAGGAGGAGTGTGGCAGCCTCCCTGTACCACAGGAGGGGTGAGTTGAGTGCAGGGGTTTCCCTGCATTGCAGGGGGGTGAGGTCGGCCCCAGGGCAGGCGCGCACAGGGGTTTGGCCCCGGGGCTGGCGGGACAAGACTCTGCCCAGTACCTAGGGATTTAAAGGGGCTGTGACTCTTTTTGTGTGGTGTTTTTTTTTCCCTTCAACAAAAAATCCTGACTACCAGGGCCCCGTCGTAACTGTTCGAATTGGGCCCGCACTTCCAAAAGCCGGCCCTGTTTGGCCTGCTCTGTTGTATTCATATAATGATGGGTCCAGAAGCAGTAGAGACACCCCTCACTTACATGTTCTGGGATGGAGGTTGGTTGCAAAAGAGAGCTCAGGTTGAAGGACTGGAGTGCAGGAGGGGATGTGGGCTCTGGAAGGGAGTTTGGGTGAAGGACAGGGTTGTGACCTGGGGCAATACATTTGAGTGCAGGGTCATAGACGGGGTAGGAGTACTGGAGGATCCGGAGGAGGGATATAGGAAGAGGTGCAGGGGTTTAGGTTGAGACCTGAGGCAGGAGATTGGATGTAGGGTAGAGGAGGGACGATAGGGTGCAGGAGCAAGGGTTTGGGTTATGTGAGGTAGGGGAGAAAGGGGGACAGAGGGTTTTGCAGCAGGGAGGGGCTAGGGTGCCCAGAAGCAGGCTCTGGCCAGGAGGTGTTACCTATGTGACTCCCTGCCAGCAGCCCAGAAGGTCCTTCAAGCAGGCTCCCTATATATTCTGACCCCACATGCCATTCAGAACAGTTAGCTGCAGGGGCACATGTGCCGCGAGCGGAAGCGGGGGGGGGGAAAGGCTGCACATCTGCCCTTTGCTCCAACACTGTCTCGCAGCTGCCATTGGCTGGGCCCTCCTGCCACGTGCTCACAGCACTCAGAGATGCACAGGCCCCTGCAGCCGGCTGCTCTGAGTGGTGTGCAGAGCTGGGGCAGGCAAGGACAGAGTCCTGCTAGGCTGTGGGCCAGATCCAGTGGCTTGAAAGGCCACATTTGAACTCTGAGCTATATTTTGCCCACACTTGGGCTAGGAACACTATTCCTGCCCATCCTGGCTAATATCCATTAATGGTCCTATTCTTCATAAACTTATCTAGTTATTTTTTGAGTCCTGGTCTTAACAATTTTGGGCAAGGAGATGTATAGGTTGATTGTGTGCTGTGTGGAAAAATACTTCTTTTGTTTTAAATTTGCAGTTAATCACTTCATTTGGTGACCCCTAGTTTTTGCATTATGAGGAGTAAATAACACTTCCTTATCTACATTCTCCACAAGGTTGATGCTAATATCCCTAGCTATGCCACTAGTATATGTGATTTAGCAGCATAACTACAAAGTGTACAGACAATGAACAAGACCATTATTATTACCATAAATGTTTAGGAGTCCAAAAGAGGGCTAGATGTCTCACAAGAACAAAGTCACGGGCAAAGAATTTATAATCCATGTTTGACATGAGGCAACAACTGAGAGTTAAAAATAGACAAAATTAAGCAGTGGGACAGGGAGAAAAATAACAATAAGATCATGTTATGTAGGAAGGCATGTATAAACTATGATAGTTCCTTCAAAAATATATTTTTGGCCTTTGTCAAACTACTATGACAAAATACCACATCTCACACAGCCATAGTCATCCCATATAATGACACCACCTAACCCCGAGAGGAAGGACATATCTCTCAACTATGGCAGGGTTGGGAGGTAAAACACGACCCTCCCTTTGAACTTGCCAGTCTGGGGTGCTGCCAGAATCAACTGCCACCAATTGTGCTGATTAACTGGCATACTCCACTTAAAAGGATTGAGGTTTAAAACACTATCATAAACAGGCAGAGCAGCAGTAAGACTGCTTCCATTAGCCATCATTTTTAAGGACAGAACCAGGTAATTCACCAGCATCTCTCAAAATTTAGGAAAAGGAATGTGGGACAGATAATAAAAATGCTATTTGTTAGACAGATTACAGTTCCCTGCATTCTGAGAAAGTCAGTTATCTGCAATGAGACCTCAGGAAAAAACAAAAAAGATGCCTTTCTATAACAAAGTGAAAAAATGCTGTCCATGCAAAATCTATGTTAAAGAAATAATGAATTTTCTAATTACCTCCTACTTCTGGTTAACTAGTGATTATTCTAAAACAAGCATCCACTATTCAGAGGAACAAGGTAAAAAACAATTGTACAACTCCCATAACTCCAAAAGGAAATTGAAAATGAGCTGCAACTGGTCTTACCCTCTGCTTTTGGTAATATTTCAGCTCCACAGAGAATACAATACAGTCCTGATCTGCAAGGCTGGCTCTGGCTGTGCATTTCCTTCCATAATATAATAAGGCAATATATACATTAACGTATTAAATATTTCATGTCTAAATATGTAGATCATAACAATTATTTAAAAATAAAAACCATTACTATCTAGTAATATACTAATGAAAATTATTGCGTCAAATATAAATCTTAATAGTAGAAGTACAAATCCATTTGAATCAATATTTAATTGCCTTAAAATTTACATCAATTGGTAAAATATATATTATACTAAAATATTAAAAATGGCTAGCCTAAATTACATATATTATATATGAGATTATTTTATACTAAGTCTCCATAAGAGAGGTTGAGCAGCAGACCAATTAAGATAAAACAATGTACTACGCATCATATTCACCAAACACAACTTTAAGTGCCAGATTGTAGTATTTTTCATTCAAAGAAACTAGGGGGCTGAGCCCCTTGCTCACTACGCTTGCCAAGCCCTCCTCTCTTGGGGGAACCACCACCAGCTCTCCCTCCGAATGCCAGGGAGGGCCAGGTCGAGGCATGGTGGCAACCTTGGCCTGTCCCTTCCTCCCAGCTGCTGGGGGGGGGTCAAGGCTGTGCCCACCCCCAGCCATCAGGGAGGGCTGAGGCTGCACCAGACCCAGCTCTTTCCATCAGTGGCTGGAAGGAGGGCATGGGCAGGGGCCATGCCAGCCCCAGCCCTGACTCTTCTCCCTGCTGCGGGGTGGGGGTGGGGAGAGGGGTGGCTAGGCTGAGGAAGCCCTGGCTCTCCCCTCACCAGGCAGGGTCGAGGGTGCACCAGCACCAGCACCAGCACCAGCTCTCCCCCTTCTCCTTGTCCTTGCAAGCCCCAGCTCTCTCTTCCCCCAGCCACTAGGAGGTTGGGCTGAGCCGAGGTCTCGCCAGGCCTGGCTCTCTCTTCCCGCCCCCAGCCTCTGGGTGTTTGGACCAGATGGACCGCCCCTCTGCCCCAGAGGGAGTGAGGAGGCAGGCGGGACACCAAGTGATGTTATGGCTTCACTCTGTCATCCCGCAGGAAATGTTTTTTAGAGAGAGAAAGAGAGAGAGAGATTAACAAACATTTTGAATTTCAGATGTTTCTCTCTAAATTATAGTGAAATGTAAAGCATCAGTGTGGTTTTCTTGTATGTTAGAGATGTATTTTACATTTTAATCTGAATAGCTTAATGTATTTGAATATTTCCTGAAATTAGAGCACATTATAAAGTATGGTTTTGTAAAGCTTTAGGACCCAATCCTGCACCCCTTACTAACACAGATAGCTCCACAGACTTGCTCATCTATATTCATGTGGTAAGGGCTGCAGCCTCTAGCCCTGGAATTTTTTATAAAATGATACTAATTGAGAACTTATGCAACATCGATACAGTGAGATCACAAGTTAATTTTATAGTTTAAAATGACAATCAATTTACCATAAAGGTGTGAAGTACTGTATTCACATTCAGAATTGCTAGGCATATAAGTAAACACTCTTCAATTAGCATTTTAAAATGATTAACAGGGTATCAGTCATGGGTAAACAGTGAATTTTAACAAACATCAGACTATAAATTATGAAGCAAATATAATGGAAATAATTTTTACAGGTAGACTGCATGTTATACTGGATGAAACCCATGTTACTTCACATCATGTTGCTCCTTTATTGGCTTCTGAAATGTGAGGTGCTGCATGTGTGTTTTATAATCAAATGCATTAATGAAACTGCTAGTTGATGATACATTTAAATAACATAATTTGTTCTAGAAGAACCCAGAAGTATTTTACAAATTACTAATATTTAGAGTTTACATGAGTTCTGTCATCTGAGGAGCTGCCATGTTAGGACATTTGGACAAACACCCTCTCTCAAGAAATGGTTGGTTATGTTTAATGACCACAAGCACTTAGTGACTTGGTTTTAAGTCTCAGACAAAAAAGTGATTTTGCAGTGCCAAAATGTTCTCTTGTAGTATGCTGCTCAAGTACTCATTTAATACAATAAAAGGGAAGAGAACTGTCTGTTTAATCGTCCATCCAACATCTTGTAGTACATGGGATTTTCTTGGAGGTTTTCCACCCAAGTACCGACAATTCTCGGCTTAGAAACTCACACCAAATCACAGAGGCAATATGGCTACAGGCTACAAAACACTTAGTCTGGAATTTTTCAAAGGATCCTCAGGCTATGATGTGCTGAACTCCCATTGACCTTCAAAGGAATTAGGTGGCTCTAAAGCTCTTTTGAAAAACTTTGCCTGAAAAATTACACACTAATCAAAAATAGTAAAGACTGCTTATGTAGAAAGGAGACATCTATTGCAAACTATAAGCTTCATTCAGCAAAGTCCTGAATACCTTCAGGTCCCACTCATGCTAATACAAACATAGATCTCCTGTGTAATTTTTCAAGCCAGGAGCGTCTCTATATTACTTATAAAATTTAAATTACAGTAATATATATTAATCAACTAATTAACGATGCAGAACTATTGTACTGGGGATGTAAAATTTTGATCGATTAGTTGATAAGGGCGCTTCCACCTTTGAAGTGTGGCAACAGACCCAAAGCTGTTGCCACACTTCAAAGGTGAAAGCGCTGTGGGCACCATGGGACCAGTGGAAGACTCAGTAAGTCCCCCGCTGGCCCTGTGCTTGCCACAGCATTTCAAAGCAGCAGTGCCCCATGGAGCCCGGGGTCAGCAAGGGACTCTGAGCCCTCAGATGACCCTGGGCTTCACGTGCCACTGCTGCTTCGAAATGCCACATGCAGCCTAGGCCAGCTGGGGATTCCAGCAAGTGATAGAGGCAGCAAGTGGGGGGGAAGTGACTAGTGTGTCAAGTATTTGATAATCTATCGGATAGTCGACTAGTCATTCACATCCCTACGCTGTACATTATTTCACCTCCCAGGAAAAAGGTGGCATATATATTACTCTTACATGGTATCAACAGTTGCCACTACTACATAATAACGTCATTCAATCTACTCTTTATATTATACCTTTCTTTCACAGATGAAGCCATTTCCCCTAATAGTAGCTTTCTTTGTTCTTCGTTTGCATGCTCTTTGCTCATTCAGTCCTTTAATAAATTTAGTATTTGATTATTATTTTATACACAAAAATATTAAGTATTGTTTCAAAATAATGGGATACTTTCTTTAAGATTTCACTGACGAGTTCAAATAGTTTTAAGTTAGTTTTCAGTTATGAAGTGCAAAGTAGACAGCTAAGTATTCAATTTACTTTTGTTGTTTTTAGTCATCACAAATCTCTGAAGAATTTAAAAATAAAATGCTTTTCACCATGGATGTATATACACAATAAGAACAAGCAGCTTGTATGTGCGCGCATATATGTTAGACTGAATTTATAGTTTTTTCATTTTAAAAAATGTTAGCAATACTATCTAGAACTATGATCCCATCATGGTTTTCCCAAGCAACTGTATAAAAGACAGGATTTAGGATGTGTCTGGTGAATATTTAGGGAACTCCAAGGAAAGGCCAATATCTAATGGGAATGGTGATAGTCCTTCAATAGCTGGCTCTTGTCTTAAATCAATGTTATTACATATTGCCATATTATATACTGACATAGTAACTTCTTATTAATATAATGCTTGCACATAGGTAAGACCAGATTTATGCCTCAAAGAGTTTACAATCAACACAAGACAAAACATCTAGCAGGAATTGTCTAGAGACAGTGCTTGGTCCTGCTGTGAGAGCAGGGGACTGGACTTGATGACCTCTCGGGGTCCCTTCCAGTTCTAGTATTCTAAGATTCTGTGAAAACAAACATACACTAGCAGACAACACACAAATTCAAGAGAGGAAGGGTCCCTGAGAGGTCATCAAGTCCAGTCCCCTGCTCTCACAGATTTGTATTATCTATTTTGATTTAAACTCAACAATATTAAAAGGCACTTCCCCATGTGACCTTCCGGAGAAGGTTACATGAGGCCTCTAACAATAACACTCAAAACCCCACAAGGAGCAGAAGCCTGGAAAATCACAGAGAACTAGGCATTTAGAAGGAACCAGAAAACTACGAGTAATATTTAGATCAAGAATGGTAACTATTCCATTGCTTCCCCCCCCTCCCAATTGTTGCAGGAATTCTGAAGAACACAGTCACCTCTATATAAGGGCTCCAGTATTAGCTGTTGTCATGAAGAGAGGGGGAAAAAAAATCAAGCATCAAGACTTTGCTTTTCTCACTCACCCCTAGCCATTTGATCTACGAACTCGACACCAAAAGTAACTACCGACTGAAGATGTGTTCAAGAAAGTTTCAAGAAAGTAAATATAACATTAATCTGAAGAATTAGGATGTTGTGGAGCAACTATGAGACACAATACATTTTACTACAATGACTGTTCTATGTGAAAAAATATTTTACTTTATGTAATATTTTTCTTTATATGGTGTAATAGAGGAAACAAGATTTTTTTAAAGGTCATGTAATGCATTACAGGTTAGTGCTAAATAATCTAATGCAATATATACAAAAGAAATTTAATGTTCTATCCATCTTTTACCATACTTGCAGATCGAAGATCTCATCTTTATAAAGCAATATTTAATGTAGAAAGAAAAGAAGCTGTTTAATTCACAATACTTGATGCACATTTACAGTTTTGAACAAGAGGATATCATAGAATTATTTAGTCTGATTTTTAAAGAAAACATCACGTGCCAGTCCAACTCAACTCATGTGACAAATATATAAATATCCAGCTAAAGATTCTACATTGTCCCAGGATTTCTTCTCAAATGTGTTCCAGAAACAAAATCTAGTTTCTCAATTACATGTGTCTCAATGTTTTATCACAGAAAAATCCTTCCTTCTGCATTAATCCTCAATGTCAAATTGTTAATTCACTATATTAACCTGGAATGTTTGTAAGGCCCTGGAAATAATTATTCCAAATTTTGTGTTCTTTAAATATCTAAAAGAAGTTATTGCTTTCTTTGTAACATTTACTCTCTATGCTCTGAATTTCAGTATGTATAAATGGCTCTAACTCTGGTCTCACTGAAGTCAGCAGAAACAAAATTTTACTCAATAGAATCAACAAAAATGTTTGAAATATTTCAAAATAAGATACACATAAAATGTTTCAAAGTACATGTGCTATTTTACTTGACCAAATGCTACAAAAGAAGTGTGTTTATAAGGTAAAAAAGTGCATTCTTGTTTGGCTATTATTACATCTCAGAACCCGACCATAAATAAAAGAGATCAAAGTAGCAAATTTTGAAGAGATGTCAATGATATTCACTTACTTAAACTTTCTATTTACACGCGAAATAAAGGAAGAATACATAATATTATCATCATCAACTTTCAAGCAGTCTGCTCAATACTGCTCATCTACAATAATGTTCTTTTTGACAAGAAACACTTCAGGGAATGGAAAATTATTCCCCTAATTTAGGAATCTAAGGTTGCTCTAGTAAATTACCTGGTGCTCACAAAATGTGCCCATTTTGTATAGTAACAATTTTTTAAAATCTAAAATAAATGCGTATAATTGTATCTGATGCAACTTTCAGCAACTGCTGACTAGAACTCAATTCCAGATGGATTCAATCGACAACTGATCAATTTTGTCTTCATGGTATAGTTTCAGGTACAGTACTACTGTGTATACAATTTATGATTCCCTGGGTCTTGATTAGCTCTTCAGCCATAGCTCTTGATTAAGGAGAATCTTAATCAAGTCTAAGAGAAACAGCAGAAAAGTATTATTTGTGTATGCAAAATAATAAATATTAAAAAATCATATCTGATAACAGAGATAAAATGGAAATACATTTCACCATTTCTCTACTTGTGAGACTATGTATTCAATAAAAATCCTACCAGAAATAAGTGATTCATAATGAAGTTCATTTCTAAATTTCCTGTAAAACATGATAGCTATGGACTAGTATTGCTCGATGAAAAGGAAGACACACCTTTGTTTCGTGATCTGGAAAGTTTACTTTTCTTTTTTCTGACATCCATTTCCTGATATTTTTTCTGTTCCACTTCTCCTACACTAGTAATACTTGCAGCATCACTAACTGCGTTACCCTTAATTTTGTCATTTTGCATTATAATATCTAACTCTCTGCACATGTTACCACTACTTTTCATTTCTCCAACTGAGCTTGTGACTTTTGAAGTACTGATTTCAATGCAAGCTCCATGTTCATTCTCATTCACAGTATTATTACAAGTTTGCATTAATGGTTCAATTTGCTGCTCCTCCGATTCTATATCATCATACAGTTCGGGTGTAAAATAGATACTATCATCCTCAGCTTCTGCTTCCATGGCTACATTTAACATTGAAAGCTCAGTTTTTCCTTTTACTGGAGATAACTCAATGCATTGAGCTAATTCTCCATTTGGTCAGAGATGCT